AGCTTGGCTGGGCCTGGTTGAGTGGCTGGGCAGCTGCTGGTAGTTATTCCCTATGATGAGACTGGCAATCAGCTCCATGGTGGAATCTACTGTGAGCAGCTGAGTAGCTGCTTTGGGTATGTGGTCTGCTTCCCGTATATAAGAAACAGCTTTGGGAATGGTCTCTAGCTTATGGCAAGCTTATGGCACGTTTGTACCCTGCATGTAGCCATGTCATTGTTCAGCAGCCTGCCATGCTCTGCCGACCTTGGGACTTAAAATGAACTTGAATTAATGGCCTGCCGTGTGGCTTGGTAACATCGGGACTGTGACATTTTACTTGTCGACCTTGGGTTTGTTTGCATCAGCAGCCAGTAGCTGCCTGAGTGAAGAGATGCCTCTAGCTTCAGTGGGCCGGGGGCAAGAGGCATAGCTGAAGCCCAAGTTGAACGGGCTTTTACACAACCCCTAGAGCCTGGCACTTTGAACTTGGACTTAAAGCCTCCAAACTGTAAAAGAATAAACTCCTGTTTGTTAAGGCCACCCCATTTGTGGTATATTCTCATCAGAGTGGCACTAGGTAACCAGAACACTACATTAATTAAAATAATGAAAAAATTGGAAGCAACTTAAAACTAGGCAAAGGAATGCTCGGCTTTGCAAGTGAGCTGAGAACTGCAAAATAAAACCACGGGGTACTGTTTTTACTCCTATCAGATTGGTGACATGTAAAGAGTGAAACCATCCAGGCTGGCAGAAATGCGGGGAAAAAAACATTCTCACAGTTACCGAGGGGGACTTTTTTGGAGGGCTGTTTGATCTTATTTATCTCTATTTAATTAATGGGCTCAAATCCTTGGGCCAGAAATTCCCCACTTTTGACTCAACCCAGAGCAATGCTAGTACAAGAGGGCAAAAAAAATAAAAACCAAACTCACTGCCATCAAGTTGTTTCTGACTCATAGTGACCCCCAGTTGGGTTTCTGAGACTGAAAATCTTTACGGAAGTAGATTGCCCCATCTTCCTTCTGTGGAGCACCTAGTGAATTTGAACTGCTGACCTTCCAGTTAGCAGTGAAGTGCCTTATCACTACGCTACAAGAGGGCAAGGATGGATATATTATAAAAGAATCTTCAATGCAATCTCATTTGTAAAACCAAGGAATTTTAAGTAATGTAAATGTTTATCAGTGAGGAACGACTTAAATAAGTTATTTCCTTCCAACAATAGAATACTGTTGACAGTTAAGGTTGTGTGTCAGCCTGGCTGGGCCATGATTCTCAGGGGTCTAGCAGTTATATGGTCATCCTCCAAGATGAGATCTGCTATGAATAGCCAATTAGTTGAAAGAGAGTTTCCACAGGGGTGTGGCCTGTTTCCAATATGTATTGGATGGCCTGGCAAAGATCTCTAGGTTTTTGTTCAATATAGATCTTGCATATGGCTTGGCATCATTTCTGGTTCTTGGACTAGAACCAATGGCCGGCCTGCTGTATTGCCTGCCAATCTTGGGATTGCTGCCTTCACAACCTGTGAACCAACAGCCTGCCATCATACCTGCTGCTTTGGGATTCATCAGCCTCAAGGCAGCAGCCTGCTATATTGCCTGTCAATTGCCAGCCCCCTCCCCCATTACGTGAGTTAAGATAAGCCTCCAGCTTGATGTCTGACCGATGGACTTGGGACTTGCCAGCCTCTACGCATGAACCATTTCCTTGAGATACATTTTTCTTCCTCGCTTAATATACATATGCTTTACTGGTTTTGCTTCTCTGGAGAACGCAGCCTAACACATTGTGTACTGTGAGTGGTTCTAGAAATACAAAATTTAAGGATGAATTTTCTAAATTGGTTCTCATGTCTGATTTGTTGTAAAGGTACTGATGACTCTGCCTCCATTCGTAAAGAAGACATTGCATGGTGTGAGGTGGTAACGTTAATACACAAAATACCACTACCAGTAGATTAAGTATTGGTAAGAGTGAGGCTCTGAGTGGTTGCAAGTTTGATACTTTTCCGCCATTTTATTAGAAATGAGAAATATAAAGAAGCTGGTTGGTTGGTCCTAGCAATTCTAGACAAAGTGGTGATAGAACAAGATGAGCTCAGGGCTTTAGAGTTACAGCCCAAGCCCTGCACATAAGACCTCAATGTTTCTACTTGTGCCCTGAAAGAAAGCCTTTTTCTGAAGGACAGTGGGAAAAAGAAATCCTCTGAATGGGCAGAAATTCGAGCTGTGTACCTGGTTGTTCACTTCACTTGGAAGGAGAATGGCCAGATGTGTGTGTGTACACTGATTCATGGGTTGTGCCAATTAGAGCACCAGCTAAGTGAGAATACCTTACAAGGTTGAGGTAATATTCTCCTGGGGGCTGTATATGCTCTAAACCAGTGTTCAATATCTGGTACTGTTTCCTCAATAACCAGGATTCATGGTCCAGGAACCAAGGGGTAGAATTGGGAGTGGCACACTCACTATTACCCCTAGTGAGCCACTCAAGAATTTTTTGCTTCCTCTCCCTGCAACCCTATGCTCTGCAGGTCTGAAGGTGTTAGTCACAAAGGGAGGTATATTCCCACCAGGAGATACAATACTGATTTCACTAAACTGAAGTTAAGAATGCCACCCAGTCATTTTGGGCTCCTCATGCCTCTGGATCAACAGGCAAAGAAGGGAGTTACTGTATTGTCTGATGTGACTGATCCTGATTACTAAGGGGAAATCAGATTGATATTATGTAATGGAGGTAAAGAAGAATATGTTTGGAATACAGGGGATTCCTTAGAACAACTCTTAGTACTACCATGCCCTGTGATTAATGTCAATGGAAAACTATAGCAACCCAATTCTAACATAATTATTAGTGGCCCAAACCCTTCAAGAAGGAAGTTTTGGGTCACCCAACCAGGCAAAGAACCATGGCCAGCTGAGGTGCTTGCTGAGGGCAAAAGGAAAATGGAATGACTGGTGGAAGAAGGTAGTTCTAAATACCAGCAACAACCACATGACCAGTTGCAGAAACAAGGGCTGTGATTGCTAGGAATATTTCTTCCTTATATGTGCGCATCAAATATTTTTGTTTTCTTCAGTTATAAAATGTCAGATGTAAACAGGGCTAATGCGTTTTAGGTTGTACACAAGTCAGTTGTATCATGTTAGGCACAAGCATAACTTTATAACTGTCTTTATTTAGAGATTATGTATGGCTTCAGGAGATGTGCACAAGTGCCAAGTTGACAAGGGCTAGACTACGATAGTTAAGGTTGTGTGTCAGCTTGGCTGGGCCATGCGTGTTTTAGTGGTTATGGTGTAGTTATCCCCATGATGAGCTCTGCTATGAGCAGCTAATCAGTTGCAAAGGAATTTCCTCAGGGGTGTGGCCTGCTTCCAATATAAATGGACATCCTGGCAGAGATCTCTGGCCTTTTGTTCCATCTGGATCCTGCATCGGGCTCATCACCATTTGGACTTGAATTGGTGGTCTGCTGTATTGTCTGCCAATTTGGGGATTTTTGCTTTGATAGCCTGTGAGCCAATGTCCTGCCATTTACCTGCTGATCGTGGATTAGTTAGCCTCCAACATGAGTAGCCTGCTGCACTGACTGCCAATCTTGGGTTTGTCAACCCTTGCAGGTTTATGAAGTCAGGAGAAGCCTCCAGCTTGACATGTAACCCACAGACCTGGGACTGGCCAGCATGTATAACTGTGTGAGCCATTTCCTTGAGAGAAATTTCTCTCTCTTTTTCTCTCTGTCTATATAAATTTCACTGGTTTTGCTTCTCTAGGGAACCCAGCCTAAGACAAATATTATGGGATGAAATGAGGGCACATTCAGACACATACACACAGAAATAGCTCCAGAACACATACAGGATACGGAGAGAGGTAAGCTTGGAGTGCGGCTGGGGGTGAGGAGATGCACTTTAACTTTTTCTTTATAAATTTTAATAGTTATACTACTGTTATAATTTAAAAACTAAAAAAAAAAAAAAATCCCAGATTAGTGACAATTGGCTTTGGGTCATGTTTCTAGTTAGAGTCTTTTCTTTAACTTTCTTATATTTTCCAAGTCTTTTATAGTAAGCACAAATCCTTTGAAATGGTGAAAAATTGTCATTCAAAAGAATATAGCATACATTCTAAATAGGGCCACAATGGTCCCAGATAAAATGGGAGAAAAATATGGAGTAGAACTCAAATTCTTATTTAAAAAAAAAAAAAAAAAAAAGCCAGACAAACTGGAACAGTAGATAACAGAATACCCCAAAACTACTGCCCTGTGACACTCTTTGAACCTAGATCCAACCCTGTCCCTGGAGATTACCTTTCAGCGAAATAGCAGAGTAGCACACAAAGATAAAGGCTATTACCCGGAAGGTCGGTGCCCTACTTAAGAACCATCAGTATGAGACCAGAAGGTCAACAATTTCTCAAAAGCAAAGCTGAGAAGATCAGTGGGCAGGGAAACTAGAGCACTGGAAAGGGACACACAGAACACAAGTAAAGAGAATGCTGGCACAGTGTAATAAACGTAACCAATGTCAATGAACATTTTGTTTGGAAATTGTCGAATGGGAACCTAACTTGCTGTGTAAACTTTCACCAATAAAGTATTAAAAACAAAACAAAAATACTGACATGGTATAAACCTAACACAGTGTCAATCTGAACTCTAAAGCATCCAATCAATTCCTCTAACTTCGGCTTTATCATCTTGTGGAAGTGTTACACTGTCTCTTGGGGCCTCATTTTCTTCATCTATAAAACAGACTTACTGTAAGGATCCAAGAGTACTCCTCTTCTGAGGTAAGCACATACCTGGCAGGTGATGGGGACAGGGTAAAGAGAAGCTTTTCTCACTGACCAAGGAAGCTCGGGCTACAGGTTCTGTACTCCAGGTGGGCTGACCAAGGGAACGGCGTCACAGAGGGTAGCTGCCTGGATCAAGGTGGGGTGAAGGTACCAGCCCCCCAGGCTACTGTCTTGCTACAGCCTGCAGGGCTGACACCCTGGCCTACCTTGCTGAGCTCTGCTTCATCCGTCATGACGCCTGTCATTATGACAGCCTCATCCAGGGAGTAGAGCAGCCCTTCCACAAAGTCGTTCTCCAGCTTCTGGGACTCATGGGAGAACTTGTCACAGATATTCTCCAGGCCCCGCACTGCCTGGAACCGCAGCTTGACGTACTTCTTGGCAGGGATGATGCGAATCTCAGCGGTCACCAGGAAGCCCAGTGTCCCACAGGACCAGGGCACAGCATAGAACAGATCTGAGTTTTCGGACTGTAAGACAGAGACAACACAGAGAACTTGAACCCTGGACTCCACATTCTGATATGTGATCAATGGTGGAACAAAGAACCTGGGGTCTCAGAGCCTAGGCTAAGTTCCTGTTCTATCACTGTCTTTCTGTGTAAACCCAAAGAACTTTACAAAATGTACTTTCTGGGCCTCAATTTTCCCTTCTGTGTAATAGGCGTATGACTCCTCTGTAATTTCAACATAACTTTTGACCTTATATTGCCCTCTGTGTCAGAGATGCTCATCAACAAAGCATTCTCCCTTCTCTCCCTATGCACAACCTCTGAGCCACAAGCTACCCAGGAAAGAGGCTATGACCAACACTGCCCAAAAACCTAAAATGGGGGACTAATGGGAGAAGTGAGAATGGCCATACTTTTTCTCACCTACTTTGGTCACGTGGTCAGAGGGGACCAGTCCCTGGAAAAGGATATGCTTAGTAAAGTGGAGCGTCAGAGAAAAGGGGAAGACCCTCAATGGGATGGATTGACACAGTGGCTGCAATGATGGGCTCAAGCATAGAAAGGACTATGAGGCTGGTGCAGGACCGGGCATTGTGTTGTTCTGCTGTAAATAGGGTTGCTTTGACTGGGAATTGACTTGACGGCACCTAACAACAAGAACAAAGGGGCACAGGTCCCAGGTCAGGCTGAAAAAAGAGCTGAGTCCTTATTGGGAGTCAAAGTAACCAAGGAACATTAAAATGCCTTCCTTCTGAGCTGTTACTAAATTTTATTTTTTGGTGAAAATACATACAGCAAAACCCACTGCTGTCCCACAGTTTCTAGACATGATTATCAGTGACATTGGTTATGGTCTTCATATTGTGCCAACATTCTCCTTATTTCTGTTATAGTTGTTTCACTTCCATTTACTTAACCTCCCTGACCCCCAACATTCTCATCTATGCTTTAAGATGGCTGTTGATCTTTTGGTCTTATATAGATTTTTTTTTTTTTAAGAATATCTGAATATTTGAAATGTAATATTCAAAAGTGACAATATTTATTCTTTGGGCTAAACTATTAGTTAAAGGTGAGTTCAGAGGTTATTTTTAATTCAAGGTTTGAAGAGCAACTCAAGGCCATAGTCCTAGGAACTCCTCCAGCCTTAATAGGTGCAGTAAGTCTGGATTCATTAAGAATTTAGATCTTGTTCCACATTTCTCTCCCTATTTATCAGGATCCATCTATTGTCTTCCTGATCAGAATGCGGGTCTGGGCTGTTATGAAAATTAACAAAGTTTTTCAGTCCACTGTTGTTATGTGCCATCGAGTTGGATCCAACTCATCGCAACCCCTCCTTGGGTTTCCGAGGCAGTATCACTATAGAAGAAGGTTGCCCAACCTTCCTTCCAAGGAGTGGCTGGTGAGTTTGAACCACCAGCCTTCTGGTTAGCAGTCAAGTGCATTAGCTTGTGTAATCCCCCCAACACCCAGGGAAAGAAAACATTAGCATTCTCATTTGACAAGTAAAGAAACTGAGGCTCCAAGAGGTGACATGACTCACCCAAGGCTTCTCAGAAAGTCAGTGGCAGGGGTGCCAGGGCTGCAAGATTGCCCACTCCTCAATCCAGCCTTTTTCCTACAACTCCTCATCTGGTTCCACACAGCTGTTTCTAACTTCATCATGTTCTTGTTTTGGTATTTGTTGTGACGACAGTTGACTTTTCAGCTGGCCATTTTTATTCAGTTTTCTTTGACTAAATAAGGCTTCTTTTGAAAAATGCCAGCTTTGCCTTGGGTCTCCTGAGAAGACACACCTGTGCAGTCTCTGCTAAACCTGAGAGACCTTGGTGGTGATCAGGGTGGGTAACGGGAGGCGAAACAGAGGTCTGGGCAGGACAGCAGAAGCCTTTGGGACAACACCTGGGCTAAACGATCCCCATCTTGGCCCATATCTAATCACACTATCACGACCTCAACAGTGATAATCAGGCACCCATGTGCTAGGCACTAGCCAAGAGCAATGCATATAACATCAACTTTCTCCTGACAAAACCTTTGTTAGATGAGGAAACTGGGCCTCAGAGAAGGGAGGTGATTCATGAAGATTTATCTCCTTTCTCTGCTGTTAATAAGTAGGTTCGAGGGCAGGACTCAGGCAAGTGTTTAGAGAAATATGATGAATGAATGAGTCCTGCAAGAGCTCCCCAGCCAGGAGTGCTTCAAGGATTCTCTCTTATGAGGCCACACTCTGGTGGCTTCTGAAACATCCACTTCAAAAAGATCAGACTGTCTCTCCTATTTCAAGACCCCTTTAAATATGCTAGCAGGGATCTGAGTTTATTTGAAGTTTTAACCTAGTTTCACTCTTTAGGGTAAGAAGCCTTAAACGTTTGTGTCTGATTCTGGGGGGCAGAATTATTTTTTATTTCTACAAAACAGTCCCTCACAACATCTAGTTATGTGGTATAATGAACAGCTAAGGGCATGAGACTGAAACCCAGATTACCTGGGTTGGAATCCTAGCTCAGCCATTCTAGCCGTGTGACCTTGGGCAAGTTTATTAATCTCTCTGTGCTTTAGTTTCCTATCTATAAAATAGGGATTATTACTAGTAGCTACCTCATAAATTTGTTGAAGAACTAAATACATTAATGTATATAAAGCTTTTGCAACAGTGTCTGAATACTTATAACCAAACCAAACCCATTGCCATAGAGTGTTTTTGACTCATAATGACCTTATAGGACAGAGTAGAACCTCCCCATAGGGTTTCCAAGGTTGTAGTCTTTATGAAAGTAGAGTGCCACATCTTTCTCCTGTGGAGCAGCTGGTGGGTTTGAACCACCAACCTTTTGGTTAGCAGCTGAGCCCTTAACCATAGCACCACCAGGGCTCCCTCTGAATACCTATAAGGGTCTATATAAATGCTCATTATTATGGATACAGGCCAGGCTGAACGAGTGCTGAACAAGTGCAGCATTTGAAAGGAAGCATACCTAGGGGAGCCACTTCCCTACCTAAGACCTCTGATGCCCAAGTTGGTATGGATGTCCCCCATTTCTGAACTCACCGGTGTGCATCGCACAAAGCTGCCATCAGCCAGGACCAGCTCATAGGCTGTGCAGATGTGCTGGAACAGGCCATACTTGTGGGATGATGACTCGATGCCAGTGCCCATGATCAAGCCCCCTGCAGAGACACACATGTTAACCAGAGAAAGCTGTAGGGTGCAGGCAGCTTGAGCAAAGGATGCCTCAGTGGAGCTTGGAGAGTTCATGGCACAAGGAAAACAGGGCAAAGATGAAAGAAATGAGGCTATTGGCTTAGGAAAAGTTTAGGAAAGAGAAGGAAGCACTTGGACAGAAGCATGAAGGCCTGCGTGGAGGTAGGGGGTGGGTGAGAAGAGCCCATCAAGGGTGCTCGTGGGCTCAGAGCCAACACAGAAAACTGTGTTCATGTTAAGAGGGACCTTAACAAAAAGAGGGGTTGGTAGGGTGCAGGAAGCTATGTCTCATGGGAATAATTAAAAGAATTGCATGTGTTTCCCCTGGAGAAGAAAAGGCTTTGGAGGCCATGAATGCTGTGGAAGGGAAGAGAAATTAGAATAGAATAGAATTAGTAGCAATAGATACAAGTCACAGAGAAGCAGATTCTAGCTAGAAATAACAAGTGCTGTCTGATAACTTGAGCTGTTCAGAAATGGAATGGGAGGCAGTGACCACACTCTCACTGTAGCCAGGTGAGTAGAGCTGGGTGATTCCACCACAGATGGAACAGAGGGGCTTTTTGAATTGGGTGAAAGGTGAAGCAAGTCCCTCAGCTCCAATTCTAGTGCTCTCTGACTCCTCTTGCCCCTTAACATGGGGTGCTCACCTACAGTGAGGTCATCAAGCTCAGGCAACACAGGCAGAGTCCAGCCAATGGAGGTCAGCAGGGCAGTCACCTGACCCATGGTCACCAAGGGCTCCACACGGACAATCTGTTAATACAAGAAAAGAGACCCTGAGTCACATGGAGGCTGTGAGGACTAATAGGGGGAAGGAGAGACCTCCTGCATGCACAGTGTGTCATCCCAAACTTCCCAAACACTCAACACAGGGATTCCTATACAGCCTTTGTGGGCTCTTTCGAGAACGTTACACTGCCTTTCACCACAGTGAATGTGCATTCTGCCTCTGGACTTACTAGTATTTAATCTCATCCTTTCAAGTATCTTTACACTTAAAGTTCAGTTTTGTTGCTGCCCCTCCGCCCTGCCCTCCACCTCTTGATTATAGAAGAAATACTCATTCATTTGGAAGGTATATGAGGACAAAAATAAAACCATTGCTTTGTGGAGTAGATTCCAACTGACCCTATAAGACAGAGCAGAACTGCCCAATAGAGTTTCCAAGGCCGTAATTTTTACAGAGGCAGATTGCCTCATCTTCCTCCCACAGAAAGGCTGGTGGGTTTGAATTGACAACCTTTTGGTTAATACCCACAGGGCTGCTAATTATGAGGAAGGAAACAAAAACCATCCATCCCAGGTCTTCAGAGTTACCAGTGTTAATTCCAGCGTGGGTTTACTTTCAGCTTTTTCTATGCATATCTATATTGCTATTTTGTATTAACAAAACATATACATACATATCTCACACACACACTTTCCTGTCTTGCTTTTAAAAAATTTAGAAGTCTATGACCATTGTTCCTTGCCATTGAATATTCTTGGAAAACATGATTCTAATGGACACACTAATGTGCCATCATGTAAACTTTTGCTTTTAGCCAAGATGGAGCAACAGGTCAGATTTACCCTGCTACCTAAAAAAAGCAGCAGTTGAGAAATCAAACGGCATCCTGTGTTAGGCTAATCTGCTGCAAAAGACCTCATTAAGATGTTAAAAAGCAAAGATGTCACTTTGAGGACTAAGGGGTGGCTCACTCAAGCCATGGTATTTTCTATCTCTTCATATGCATACTGGACAATGAATAAGAAGACTGAAGAATTGATATATTTAAATTATAGTGTTGGGGAAGAATAATGAATATACAACGCACTGCTAGAAGAACGAACAAATTTGTCTCAGAAGAAATATAGCAAGAATTCCCCTTAGAAACAAGAATGGACAGACTATATCTCACGTACTTTGGATACATTGTCAGGAGGGACTAGTCCCTGGAGAAGGATATCAGGGTTGGTAAATAGAAAGTTAGTGAAAAAAGGGGAAGACCTTCAACAAGATTGATTGACACAGTGGCTGCAATGATGGGCTCAAACATAGCAGTAACTGAATGGCACAGCACCAGGCAGTGTTTTGCTCTGTTGTACATGGGTCATTATGAGTCGGAATCAACTAGAACGCACCTAACAATAAACCTGAAAACACAACAGAAGATAAAATATATGAAACATCAGTTTTCAAGAGCTTGAACATTAGGCAATGAAAGTCAGTGATGCCTGAGAGATGAGAAATAGCCTGGAAAGAATATCCAGACCTTGTCACAGGGAGGTTGAAGCCAGGTGGAGCTTAAGACTCCCTGAGTTGAGGAGATGGAGATGAGAGCTCCCAAAGACCAAGGTGGCAGGAATTTGCAGGAGAGTAGAAAGAAAACTTGGAACAACTTCAAAGGGTGCCCCTCAAATATTCAAGTGAGTGCTGTTCAGGGCGTGCATGTGAGGAATTACTGGAGGCCACGGCCAGAACAGGTCAGAAGCTCTGACAGAACAATGGTTAAGCAATTGGCTGCTAACTAGTTGACAGTTCGGACTCACCAGTGGCTCCACAGGAGAAAGAGTCGGTAATCTGCTCCCAAACAGATTACAGCCTAGGAAACCCTATGAGGCATTTTTACTCTGCCATTTAGAGTCATGATGAGTCAGAATCTATATGACTCAACAGCACAAAACAAGAACAAGGCCACAGAAAGAGCCATTTGTAAGAATACCAGAGAACATAGCCAGGGTCTCTGACAGGTCAGAAGCCAATGACTGTTCCTAGAAACCAGACTGGAAAACCTCATGATTCATAGGGCTCTGGGTAGATTCAGAAGGATCATGCCTCAGTAGTGGGAAATAATTAGCCCTAGACTAAATGCTGCCCTGTCCCCACCGAAAATATAAAGACTCAATAAGATCAGACTATTTCCAAATAAGTTACTTGTAACCCAGAAGAAAGCTCAAAATTTAGAGGAATACAGAAATACCCAGCACTCAAAAAGGTAATGTTCACAATCTCTAGAATCCAATCAAAGGTTCCCAGGCATATAAAAAGAAAGCAAAAAACACAACCCAGAATAAGGAGAAATATCAATCCATCAAAATAAACCCAGAACTGGCACAGACATTAAAATTGGCAAACAAGGACATTACAATAGTTGTAACTGCATCCCCCACATGCAAAAAGCTAAGTAGGGACTCTAAAAAGATATTTTAAAAGACCCAAACTGAACTTCTAGAAACGAAAAGCACAGTGTCTGAGATGAAATATACACTGGATGAGATTAATGGTAAATTAGACCTCACAGAAGAAAAGATCACTGACTCATAGTGACCTTACAGGGCAGAGTACAACTGTCCACAGTTTCCTAGGCTGCAATCTTTATGGAAGCAGATTGCCAAGTCTTTTCTCCTGCAGAGCAGCTGGTGGGTTCAAACCACCAACCTTTTGGTTAGGAGCCAAAAGCCTTAACTACTGCTTGACCAGAGCTCCTTTGTTGTTGTTGTTGTTATGCGCCGTCAAGTCGGCCCCGACTCATAGCAACCTCTCCTTGGGTTTCTGAGGCAGTATCACTACAGAAGTAGGATTGCCCAACCTTTTTTCCGAGGAGTGGCTGGTGGGTTTGAACCGCCAGCCTTCTGGTTAGCAGTCAAGTGCCTTAGCCACTATGCTACCAGAGCTCCTAAAAGAAAGCTAGAGAGGCTTTATTAATATCAGACAAAGTAGATTCAGGATAAAGTTATACCTAGAGAATAAAAGTTTATTTCAAAGTGATAAAGGAATCAATTAATCAAAAGAACATAACCTTAAACATTTATGTACCTAATAACAGAGCTCCAAAAGTACATGAAACAAAAACTTCAAGAGAAATAGACAAATCCACAATAACAGGCAGGATTTCAAATTCCCTCTCAATAACTGATAGAACAAGTAGACACAAAATACATAAGGATATAGAATACTTGAACAACACTATCATCCAATCTGACCTATAATTTACATTTATAGAACATGCTACCTATAAGAATATACATTAAAAAAAATCATGTGGAGATCAGTAGAAAAATGGTCCATATGGTAAGAACACCAAATTTAGAACTTGTTATCACCACTGTGGAACAGTTTATAGATCATGAAAAAGGGGAATTGACAGATCAGGATTCAACGGATTTTGATGAGGAAAGAAATGCTGAAGAAGAAAGATAAGAGAGAAGTTGTCAAAAAAATTTATAGTGAAAGGCTTTGCTGGAGTTTTTCTAAACTAAATCAGAGACTTTAGTGTTTAAAAACACCGACCCAAATGCTGATCACTCTGCTAAAATCAATAGGCAGATTCAGAAGCAGTGATGTTACCACGAAATATATAGAAAATAAAATTAAAAAAAGGCCATCAAGACAACTCTCACGAATTTTCTGACTAGAAATGCCATGGCATTCCTAGGGATAATTCAGGTGATCCAGACTCTTCCACAAGCAGAGGTATTACTGCAACTGACAAGATGCCAACATAGTCTGTTTCTTCTTCATCGTTGGAGTAAACTTTAATGATTTGTGCATTTTTTTAATTCATGTATATATTAATAGGAGCTCTGGTAGCATAGTGGCTAAAAGCACTTGACTGCTATCCAGAAGGCTGGAGGTTCAAACCCACCAGCCACTCCTCAGAAGGAAGGTTGGGCAATCCTACTTCCATAGTGATACTGCCTCGGAAACCCAAGGAGAGGTCACTATGAGTCGGGGCCGACTCGACGGCACATAACAACAACAACATATATTAAAATATATTTGTTAGTTTATATGTCATGTTTCCTGCCCCTAAAGATAAATAAAGATCGGGTTTATAAAGACACCGATGATAATGAAAATGAAAGAAAAAAAAAAAGATACTGACTTCATCAGAATCGAATTAGAACGGAGCTGTCAGACAGAACCCCATCATAAGTCAGGTACTCCCTGCAGTAAAAAATGGGAAGCGAATAAAATGTCCATCAACAGGTGAACGAATAAACAAACAGTGACATAGTCATACAATGGAATAGTGCTCAGCAATAAAATGGAATGTACTATTGATGCACACTCCCCCACAGACAGATCTCAAAATAATTATGCTGAGTGAAAAAAGCCAGACCAAAAAAGAGTACATACTGTATGATTTAATTTACATAAAACTCTATATCCAAACTAATCTAAAGGGACAGAAAGCAGATCATCGTTTGCCTGGGAATGTAGAGGGAGGGGAGGAGAGGGGCCGGAGGAAAAGGTTACAAAGGGACGTGATGAGATTTTGGGAGCAATGGGTGTGTGCATTGTCTTGATTAGGGTAATTGTTCCATGAGTACATGAAAACCTAAACAAATCCACAAGTCGATTCCAACTCCTGGCGAGTGACTCCATGAGTGTCAGACTAGAACTGTGCTCTATAGGGTTTACAATGGCTGCTTTTTCACAAGCCGATCACCAAGCTTTTCTTCCAAGGTGTCTCTGGGTGGACTCAAACACACTTGTTCTCTCCTTAGTTGTCATTGAGTTGACTCTGGCTCACAGCAACCCCACGTATAACAGAATGAAACACTATCTGGTCCCAGGCCATCTTTGTAAATTGTTGGCATGTCAGTAGGAGCATGTTAACTGTTTGCAGCACCCAGGGACTCCCACATGTATCAAACATATATCAAAATTTGTCATCAAACTGTACACTTTAAATATGTGCAATTTATTTTATGCCACACATACCTTAATAAAACTGTTTTTAAAAAAGTGGCAGAGATCTTAAGTAACTTGGCCAAGGTCTCACAAAAATAGCAAAATGCCATCATGTGGCTATAGTATGTTTAATAGGAGCTCTGGTAGTGTAGTGCCTACGGCACTTGACTACTAACCAGTTTGACTGGTTCAAACCCACCAGCCACTTCTCGGAAGGAAGGTTGGGCAATCTATTTCCGTAGTGATACCGCCTCAGAAACCCAAGGAGGGGTCGCTATGAGTTGGGTCTGACTCGATGGCACATAACAACAACAACAACAACAACAACTGTATTTAATAACTTCCCTATTACTGGCAATGGTGTTATCTTCAATTAGTAACAAAGCTGTTATATAATCTCTCTGTGTTGTTTGTGTGTATCTTTGATTACATTTGAGGCTTTCCTTTTACCTAAAGTCTGGTTTCAAGAAGTAGAATTACTAGATGGGCCAAAGAGTATGCACATTTCTAAGGCTTTCAAAAAAGTATGTCCCCAGATCCTGATCAAAAAGTGGGAAAATGAAGAAAAGAATCTCGGTTCTCATGGAATCTAGACTTTCTAGAACCACTGGAGCTAGATTAATTACCAAAACTATTGCCCTGAAGTAACCTTTCAACCTAAAATCTTTTTTTTTTTTAATTTTTACTGTGACTTGGGTAAAAATTTACAGAGCAAATTCATTATCCATATAGCAGTTCATACACATTTTGTTTCATAACATTGACTGCAATTCTCCACAATGTAACAGTTCTCTTCCCACTTTCTCCCTGTAGTTACCTCATCCCTGTGTCCTTCCATTCCCCAAGTTATGTCCCTGTGCGAATACTGTCCTTCTGTTCTCCCATGACTGATCACTCCAAGGAATGTCTCTGCCTGATGAAAATGTTCACCCCATATGCCTGTCTATTGTTTGGCTGGAAGCCATAAGAATGAATTCAGTTCATTCTTATGAACATTCAAGTTCAGACTTGAAGAGTAACTAAGGGCCATAGTCTCAGAGGTCTCGCCAGGCTCTGTCAGACCAGCAAACCTGGTCCTCCCCACCCCCTTTTTTTTTCCAAATGATTTTGAGTTTTGTTCCACATTGTTCTCCCACTCTATCCAGGATCTCCTACAAGGATCCCCCTTCGAGTGGTTGACAGTGGTAGCTGGGCACCATCTAGTTCTGGTCTCATGGTCACATAGGCTGAGGTTCGCATGGTCCATTAGACCCTCGGACTAATTGTTTTCATGTGTCTTTGGTTTTCTTCATTTTTCTTTGCTCTGGATGAGGAGAGATCCATCATTGTATCTGCATGGCCACTTGCAAGCTTTTAAGACCCCAGTTGCTACTCACCAAAGTAGGATGTAGAACAATGTTTTTGTGTAGTATGCTATGCCAGTTGAGCTTGATGTCACCTGTGACCAGGTCCCAAGCCCGAAGGTCCCATGTTCCCCCTGGATAGCTAACTGTGCCCAAGAAGTCACCACAACATTGTCCCTTGTCAGCTCTACTATATACCTGGATATTCTTACAGTACATACAAATACATGTAGAAACATTTCAACCTAAAATCTTAAACCAAAAATATTTCCTGAGTCTTCTTTAAACCAAACATGTTGTTGTTGTTATGTGCCACTGAGTTGGCCCCGACTCATAGCGACCCCTCCTTGGGTTGCCAAGGCAGTATCACTACGGAAGTAGATTGCCCAACCTTCCTTCCGAGAAGTGGCTGGTGGGTTTGAACCGTCAGCCTTCTGGTTAGCAGTCAAGTGCCTTAGGCACTATGCTACCAGAGCTCCTGGTAACCAAACGTAGTCTAAGTTAATTACAAAAGAATGTATTGTGCTGTGGTAGTTAAGGTTGTGAGTCAACTTGGCAGGGCCTGGTTGAGTGGCTGGGCAGTGGAATGTAGTATTTCCGATGATGAGACTGGGAATCAACTCCATGGTGGAATCAACTGTGAGCAGCTGAGTAGCTGCCTTAGGGATGTGGTCTGCTTCCTGTATATAAGGAGAAGCCTTGGGGAAGGGTCTCTAACTGATGGCACGCTTGAACCCTGCATGTAGCCATGTTGTTGTTCAGCTGCCTGTCGTGCTCTGCTGACCTTGGGACTTACAACGGACTTGAATCAATGGCCTGCCATGTGGTTTGGTAACATTGGAACTGTGTCTTCTTACTTGTCAACCTTGGGCTTGTTAGCCTCAGCAACCAGCAGCTGTCTGAGTGAAGAAAAGCCTCTAGCTCCAGTGGGCCAGGAGCAAGAGGCAGAGCTGAAGCCCAAGGTTGAGGGGCTTTCACCCAGCCCCAAGAGCCTGGCACTTTGAACTTGGACTTAAAGCCTCTAAACTGTAAGAGAATAAACCCCTATTTGTTCAAGCCATCCGATTTGTGGTGTATTCTCATCAGAGTGGCACTAGGTAACCAAAACATGTGCCCTTTTAAAGAACTATCTACATAGGATCAAACTAGTAACAGCAACTGGAAAGCTTAGGGGGCAGTGAGTTTATGTCAGCAGGGGAGGAACAAATCAGAAAAGGAAGGTGAGAATGGCTGCAAATTTTAACAATATAACCAAGGTCACTGTATTATACACATAGAAGTTGTTGAGTTGGTCTATGTTTTGCTATGTATATTTTCCACAACAACAAAACACAAACAAACAAAAAACAAGCAGGTCTTCAGGAAGCTTTAATAAAGCTCCCTTCTCCCAGCCACCTTCATAGCCCATTTTTTTATTAGACTTGCTTACTGGGAAGAGGTAAATATTTATCTTTCTGTCTCTCATTTTTGCTCATGTTTTCCCCTGACTTCCCACAGATGTACAGACAATCCCCCTGAGCTCTCAGCTTGCCCACCTGTGAGATGGAGCTATAACAAATCTCTCCTCTTTGTGGCTATGAGGCTTTGGAGGATGGCAATGAGGGGCAGAGCCCATGGACCTCGGTCCCACCCTTTCTGGGATTCTGTTACAGAGTGAACTGTGTTCCCCAAAAATGTGTGTTATAAATCCTAATGTTTACACCTGTGGCTATAATCCCATTTAGGAAGGGTTTTCTTTATATGCTAATGAGGCAGTATTAGTGTAGGGTGTGTCTAAATCAATCTCTTTTGAGCTATAAAAGAGCAGATTAAGACAGCAAGCAAGCAAGCAAATAGAGATGGGGGAAAATAGATGCCATGCCACATGGAGATCACTAAGGAGCCAAGGAACAGCTGCTGAAAAGAGACAAAGACTTTCCCCCAAAGACAACAGAGAAAGACAGCCTTCCCCTAGAGCTGGCACCCTGAATGCTAGCCTCCTAAACTGTGAGAAAATAAATTTATTTGTTAAAGCCACTCCTTTGTGGTGTTTCTGTTATAGCAGCACCAGATAACTAAGACAGATGCCTTTAGTGAAAACCATCTCTCTATGAGTCACTTCCACCAAGGTATAGTCCACAAGCTCAGGGAACAGTGCTGCTCTTACCTGTTTCTTGGTGTCTACCTCCAAGATGTCCATCAGGTTGATCATGATGTTTTTATGTGTCTTCTTGTACTTTCCAACCCGCAGGGAGACTGTGAGCCAGCCGGGGCGCCCTGTGCACATGAACGTCTTGCTGCCCTGCTCCTTCCATTCTCGCACCTGCAACCATGAGGACAGAGACTGAGTGGGCCCTGCCAGGGATCCCCAGAGCAGCTTACAGCCCTGCTTTCAGGCAGAGGGAACCGAAAAAGATGTCTTCACTTGTCAGCAAACATTTATTGAGCCCCTTCATCCTTCCAGGTGCTGGAGGAAAAGGACAATGACAGGCCTAGTGGCTGCTCCCTGACTAGCAAGGCCTATGGAAAAGCCAACATGTTGCTATACCACAAAGCAGAATGAAGAAAGAGCTAGACTACAAGGTCAAAGTGTTTTGGAAATATTAACGAACTGGGAAGTTGGAGAAAAATTTTGTAATGATAATAGTGATAATATAAATGGTTACTATTTACTGGGTGTCCCCACTGTGCTAGGCACCTACTATACATGTTTCATTTAATTCTCAAAAGCCCAAGAGGTTGGAATGACCAGCTCCCTTTTGCTGATAAGGAAACTGAGAGGCAAAATAACTTGCCTAAGCTTAAAGAACTGAATGGCAGAGCCCAGATTCATAACCAGGACCGTTCAACTTTTGATTTATGGGAGAAGAAATTTCAACATCAGATTTGGATGGGACTGTATTAATAGTTAACACAGTAACAGGATACTGAAGCTTACATGTTAAGCGCTATTCTAATTATCTGCACTCATTAACATAACTACCACTTTGAGAGGGAGAGAGCAAGGCAGGAAAGGATGGCCTTGCCAATGGAAGGAACAGTATTTATAAAACCTCTACTATAAGTAACCAGAGCACAAAACAGAGAGAACAAATGGCCTAGGAGATGACAAGTCTACCAGAAACCCAGGAGGAACTGTTCTCTCCTGAGATGAACCAGGGCAAGGGAGGTGGGTATCTGTTGCTTTGAGCTGCCATCATCCATTCCTTCTTCGTCTGCTTCTAACAATCCCATCTTCCTTTGGTCCAGTTGAGGCTAATTCTACTCCCCCTGCTCTAGGAGGTGGTATGAGACTTAGATCTGATGCCATCCTCCTGGCCATGGTGACAGTTTCTGGGATTGGGCCATGACCAGAGCCAAGACAACGAGATTGGTTTCAGGAGAAGCACTCTCTCTACCAGGGTGGCTAAGCCAGAAGCTGTTAAGGCCTCTGTGGGGAGATAATCTCTCTGAGAAGCTGACCCAGAGGAAAGGAGAGCCAAGAGATGGCAGATGGACGGAGATGGAGATAGGGGAGAGGGGAACCCTGGATCCAGACACACCTAAGCCATTTCACTCCTGGACTTTTTAAGTAGCTGAATCAATAAAGTCAGTTTTTCTCAAGCTAGTTTGAGTTTAGTCCCTATCACTTGCCACCAAGAGTCTTGTCAAATACTGGTTGGGCCTCCTGAAGGAGGCTGCATTGATCTGGTTAGGCAAACAGCTCAGCATGGGAAGACTTCCTACAATCAGAGTTCAAATGCCATGTGAAGTGATAGGCTCCCCATCCTGGGATGTTCTCAAGCAAATGAGGGTTATTGAGGAAGGGATTCCTGTGAGTTGGGGGTGAAGGGATGAGTGGTAGGATTCCACGACCACCCAGGCCTTATCTCTACCTAACTCTGCAGTTCCACAACTTGATACCAGCCCAGACAGGTGAGGCCACAGAGGTGGGGATTACCTTCTGGGAGGGCAGGCCACATGTGAATCTTGTGGAAGCCACAAAGCCTGAACCATTGGTTGTTTGGATCCTGACAGGAACCAATCAAGATTTTGGGCTAAACTAAACTCACTGTCATCGAGTCAGATCTGACTCATAGCAACCCCTCCTTGGGTTTCCGTGGAAATGTCACTACAGCAGTAGATTGCCCAACCTTCCTTCTGAGGAGTGGCTAGTGGGATTGAACCACCAGCCTTCTGGTTAGCAGTCAAATGCCTTAGGCACTACACCACCAGAGCTCTCAGATTCTGGGCAGGGAGGTGATATGTAAAAAAAGGCATTCTTGTGACTGTGTGCAAATCAAAGAAAGGCGGGGAGGGCTTTGAAGAAGGACAACTGGTCAGGCAGCTATTACAACAGGCTATGTGTGAAGCAGGAGCTCTGGTAGCATAGTGGCTAAGGCACTTGACTGCTAACCAGAAGGCTGGCAGTTCAAACCCACCAGCCACTCCTCGGAAGGAAGGTTGGGCAATCCTACTTCCGTAGTGATACTGCCTCGGAAACACAAGGAGGGGTCACTATGAGTCGGGGCCGACTCGACGGCACATAACAACAACAACAACATGTGTGAAGCAAAAAAAATAAAATAACCTAGGCCCATAGAGTGGAATGGAAAGGGATGGGAAGGAGGAAGTACAAGTGCTCAGGCTCTAAAGTCAAGCCGACCTGGGTTCCAGCCTTATTTATTAGCTCTGTCATCTTGGGCATATGACTTACCATCTGAGCTTGAGCTTTTCCCATTTATAAAGTAGGTACAAGACCTACTGGGGATGCTGTCAGGATTAGAAATAACGGATGTCAATGGCTAAGGATGTGGTACATGGCAGGTCCAGGGCAGTGGGCTGGTCCAGTGTGCCCATCAATGTGACATTGATATGCCAGACCCCTTATCTTCCTGTCCAGTGAGCCCTGTGGCTTAGTTTAGGCAATGGCATCACTAGAGTTGGTGTCACTCAGTACAATAACTCATGGTGACCCCTTGGGTGGCCAAGGCTGGCCAGGGAACTGCCCCCTGGTGGGCTGAGTAGCATGACTCTGCCCCTAGTGGCTCTCCACAGCTCCTCTGCTCTTCCATTGACCAAGGCAGTGACCTTCCTCTCCATCCAATGGTTAGAGCCTGACCGCCTGCACCCTGATTGGTGGGTGGTAGGAGGTGGAGGGTGGGGAGATGGTGGTGGTAGTGGCGAGGAGTTACCACAGCGGGTGATGGATGACACCAACCCTAGGCGGCCCCTCCCCCTATGGTGCCAGCCCACCTGCTGCCACCATCACTGCCATGGACTCTGAAGTCATTTCGGTGTCACCTCCTCTGACGGTGTCAGGGAGTGTGGTCTGCACCCCTACCATCCTCCTAGTGACGTGACTGGTTTAATAAGTGCTCACTGGGCTGCTCTGGGACAGAGAAGAGTCAGACAAGGAGCTCACAGTTTGATGGAAGAGACGAGTAAGCAGATGGGCTCTGAACACAATGTGGCAAGAACTGTAAAAGACAATTGGGGCCATAACTGTGATTAGCAAAAACCCAGGACAGCCTGAGTAAAGCATTTCCATCACTACATTCTCCCATCTGCCCAAGTCTTACCCCTCTTGGGGACATCTTTCTGCATATATGTTCATGCTCTTGTTTGCAGCAAACAGAGTATGGAGGCTGCTACACCTGTAGAAAGGTGGCAACAAGAAACAGAAGCTCTTTGCAACCTGATGCCACTAAGAGAGGAACATAAGGAGGGGCAGAGGGAGCAAAGAAACTACCCAGGTCTGATCCCATGCCAGCGCTGAACTGGAGATGGCTCCTCTTTGAGCAGCAGCAGGTCACTGGCTCTTTGGGTGGCTGAGGATATGTACGGTTACTCGGAGGAGATGTTAAGTACTGCCTTGCCAAGAAGTGAGCATCCCATCAGCAGAAACTCTGAGGTTCCCTACGTGGTGCATGGTTCTACCTGCTCACTTTAGTCCTCTACCCTACAAATATCAAAAGCTCCTTGTTGCTACAGAATAAATTCCAAACTAAATTAATTCTAGGTATTACAGCTCCTCTCCAACTAGCTCCAAAATGACTTCTCCCATCCTTCCTGCACTGTTCTCCTTCCCTGCCTTTGCTCACACCAGTCCCTCCACCTGATAAATCTTTCCCCATCATTTCGCCTGCTTCCCAATCTCTAGTCCCAGTTCCATCTCCAGAAAGCCTTCCTTCCTCTGAATTCGCTCAGCACTTTGCCTCGACCTCCTTCAGCCTTCTGACTTCAAGATAGTTACCCGTGTATTGCTCTTCTTCTATTTTAGGGTTCTTTATATCCCTTCCGATACTCACACTCAAAAACTCACTCACAATAGTCAAGTCGCTTCCGACTGATAGCGACCCCTCCCCTTAGGTTTCCGAAGCCCTACCTATACGGAAGTAGATTGCTCACTCTTCCTTCCGCTCTGCATATGGTAGGCACTCCATAAACATCTACAGAATGCTTTGTTTCTTCAGTGCCTTTACTGATACTGCTTCCTTTCCGGGAAGGCCCCACTAAGCATAGTTTTGGGGGGTTCAAATCCCCCTCATACACCACCTTCTCTTTGAAATCTTGGCTCTCCAGCCGTAGCTGGCTATGCACGCACCTCACTTTCTCGGTTTTCGTCCTGGGTACTCTCTATCTGCTGCCTTGCACGCCGCTATTAGCGCACAAGTTCCCTCTTCCGCTAGCCTGGGAGCTCTTAGACCCCTAATGCCAAGCGCAGCAGGCGAGCCGCCCGCGCCGGGATTCGAGCGCCGCTCACCTGTTTCTGGATGTCTCGCACGCGCTGTTCGTGCAGCCGCGGCGCGCTGCTGAGCCTGAACACCACCCAGGCGCGCAAGTAGTAGTAGATATCGAAGATGAGCGACAGTGGCAGGAGGAAGAGGCACACGAACACCCAGCGCTGGTGGATAATCACGAACTCAAGCCCCTTCAAGCGAATCCAGAGCAGGAAAAGCAGCGCACACACGGCCAGGGACAAGGCGGGTTCCATCGTCGCGACTCGGGCGGCTGCCTCAGGGACGCGGCGTGTTGCGTGGAGGAGGGGGCGCCGGCTCGAGCCTCCTGTCACCGCCACCCACCCGCTACTGCAGGCTCCTACTCCCAGGGAGAGGGGGAGAAGGAAAAAAAAAAATCGCCTCGCCGGCTCGCGATTGGCTCAGGTCGTAAAGGTTCGGTGGGCCGAGACCCGGCTGGCGACCAATGGCGAGCCGCGCCTGGGATCGGACCAGGAACCCGCCGCTTTTACTGGCTGTGTGAGTCAGACTGCTCAGCCCCCTTGTCCTCGCCAACACGCGAAGGGGGGATCTTCGGGGACTGGGGCGATGGTGGGGTCAACTGCGTTGGGCTGCGCCAGGGGGCTGCCAGTGCGCGGCGGTGGCTGGGAGTCGAGAGTTCCCCGCCCTCGGGGCTTCAGGGCTGCCCCTGGGAAGAGAGGTGCCGCTGCTCCCTTCTCCTCCATAGAGGGCGCCTCTTCGAAAAGGCGCGTTAAACGGTCACACATCGGGTTACCTCCCGGGGGAAGGGCACTTAAGGCCGCACAAGCCCACTGCTGGGAATCCCCCTGGGTCAGCCACCCTGCAGCCTGGCAAGGCCTTACATGCATCTTTTCATTTTTCGAGACACTTTCCATAAGTTCATTTGAGCTACAAACACAGCAATCCTGGGCGGTGTATAATTGTTAGCCCCATTTTTGTAGACGACAAAAGGGCCAAAAAAATGTGAAGACTTGTCAGTAATCTTCATAGAAGGCTATTGTTAGGACCATTCCCCCTGCCTGCTCTTCTGAGGCAGATGGGGAAGTTGTTAGGTGCTTTGGAGTTGATTCCGACTCATGCCTACCCCATATGTTACAGAGGGTTCTCTTGGTTGTGATTTTAAGGGAAGCAGATAGCCTGGGGTTCTACCACCTCTATGCTGGGTGGGTTTGAACACTTCCTGCCTAAGGACCTTTGGATAGGGACGGCTGAAGGGGAAAGAACTAATGGAAGAATGCCAATCATTCAAAGCCCTCAGCTCTGTGCCAGGCTGTACTGTAGACCCTGGGGATACAGGGTGAGCAAAGTAGATGACCAGCCTTCATGGAGCAACCAGTCCTTTACCACCAAAAATTTAAACCCAACTTCATTTAAATTTCGTGATGATGCTGTAGAGAGATGATTGCCTCTTACGAAATGTTAGGAAGGGTACTGGATGTTTTATTTTGTAAGGCAAACATGACGTACCAGCCCCTCCACTGTCTGGCCATGCTGAGCCCTCTGTTTTCCTCTCCTTTTACCTTCACTCCAGTTTGCATTCAGGAGACTCCCTGCATCTTGCTGTTCCTCCTTTCAGTGACTTCACTAAAGGTGTCCCCTCTGGAATGCCCATTACCCTCGCCTTCACAGAGCTAATATCCTTGAAGCCAGCTCCGTCCACCTTCTTAAAACTACTTCCTATTCCCGTTGGGCACTCATACTTGCATCTCTGTCTCCATTCTTTCACATTATTTTTACCCCCACAGACTGAGCTTTAGGGCAGACAGTGTTTTGTTCACTTTTGCATTTCCAGCTTCTAACACA